CTTCCTTCCTTCCTCCCTCCCTCCCTCCCTCCCTCCCTCTCTCCCTTCTTCCTTCCTTCCTTCCTTCCTTCCTTCCTTCCTTCCTTCCTTCCTTCCTTCCTTCCTTCCTTCCTTTCTTTCTTTCTTTCTTTCTTTCTTTCTTTTTCTTTCTTTCTTTCTTTCTTTCTTTCTTTCTTTCTTTCTTTCTTTTTCTTCCTTCCTTCCTTCCTTCCTCCCTCCCTCCCTCCCTCCCTCCCTCCCTTCCTCCCTCCCTCCCTCCCTCCCTCCCTCCCTCCCTTCCTTCCTTCCTCCCTCCCTCCCTCCCTCCCTCCCTCCCTTCTTCCTTCCTTCCTTCCTTCCTTCCTTTCTTTCTTTCTTTCTTTTTTCTTTCTTTCTTTCTTTCTTTCTTTCTTTCTTTCTTTCTTTCTCTTTTCTTTCTTTCTCTTTCTTTCTTTCTTTCTTTCTTTCTTTCTTTCTTTCTTTCTTTCTTTCTTTCTTTCTTTCTTTCTTTTCCTTCCTTCCTTCCTTCCTTCCTTCCTCCCTCCCTCCCTCCCTCCTCCCTCCCTCCCTTCTTCTTTCTTTCTTTCTTTCTTTCTTTCTTTCTTTCTTTCTTTCTTTCTTTCTTTCTTTCTTTCTTTCTTTCTCTCTCTCTCTCTCTCTCTCTCTCTCTCTCTCTCTCTCTCTCTCCTCTCTCTCTCTCTCGACCAATTCTTGCTCTGTCGCCCAGGCTGAAGTACAGTGGTGTGAACTCGGCTCACTGCAACCTCTGCCTCCCGGGTTCAAGGGATTCTCCTGCCTCAGCCTCCTGAGTAGCTGGGACTACAGGTGCCCGCCACCATGCCTGGCTAATTTTTTTATTTTTAGTAGAGAGAGGGTTTCACCAAATTTGTCAGGCTGGTTTCAAACTCCTGACATTGTGAGCTGCCTGCCTTGGCCTCCCAAAGTGCTGATATTACAGGCGTGAGCCACCGTGCACAGCCTTTATTTCCATTTAATGAAGTAATTAGATGAGTTGAGATGACACCTGATTCATCATGGAGTTCTAACATGTTTAAAACATTTTCTAGATACACCATTCATTTCAGAGGAATGCAAATTATTAATTTCCAACTTGATACAGTATTATATTGTAAATACATCTATGTCCCCAGTACATCTATGTTAGGAAATAGAAATTAATCTCATTCTCTTCCAATTATATCCTCTTACTCGTTCCCAAAGACAGCTAATCACTCTGTTACGTTCTAATCCAGTAGGTAACTTTTGGCTTTAAAAAATGTTCATGTAAATAAAAATTATAATATTTACTTCTCTATTTCTTTGGCATAATCAAAAGTAATCCTTATTGCATAGTCACTTTGGACTCTTCATATCAGGAGAGCAGCAGACAGAGAAAGGAGTTAACTATTTGGTGAGGAGTAATTATCCTCAAGCCATATAGTGTAGGAGAATATATCTATAGCTCAGGAGATTTACGGAGTATATTAACTTGCTATCAGTGCCATGATAAATTACTGCAAACCAAGTGGCTTAAATTTATTTTTTCACAGTTCCAAAGGCTTCTAGTCTGAAATTAAGGTGTTGGCAATGTTGTTTTCATCTGAAGCCTGTGAGGGAAGTATCTGTTCCAGGTCTCTCTCCTTGACTTGTCGATGTCTATCATTTCCATGTGTGTTTGACAGAATTTTTCTACTGTATGCATACTGTCTTTGAATTTTCCCCTTGTATATAGACATCAGTCATATTTAATCAGAGGTCTAATTGTTTCCAATATGACCTTGTCTTGTCACATAGCATTTTAAATGATTCTATTTGTATATGAATTTTGGAGGACACAAATTAACCCATAACACTGCAGAATCTCATAGTGCGTCCATGCCCAGTGATAACCACAGATGAGTAAGAACAGCAATCACAGCGGACAATGGTATAGTAACTAGAGGCTCAGATCCTTCAGGAAGGACATTCTGAGCTACTGCCTCGGCAGTTATCTAGAGCAACAAGAGTGCTGGCCAGGGGTGAAAGGAGAATAGAACTGGTGGGAATTAATGGAGATTATGAATCTCAGGGGCACTGTATTACAGCAGAAGTAAGTGTAGCTTATTTCATTGGCCTTCATTTTATATCTCACTTTCTCCCCTAACTTTTCCTTTCCTTCTTCATTTTTCTTTCTTTTGTTTCCTTCAATCACCCCTTCTCCTTCCTTCCTTCATGTTTTTTTCATTCCTTTTTCCCTTCCCTTCCCTTCTCTTCTCTCTCTCTTTTCTTTCTTTTCTCTTTCCTCCTCCTCTCATCTTCTGTTACTTCTCTTCCTCTTCCTCTCCTCTGCTTCTTTCTTCTTCTAGAGCTTGTGGCTGTGCATCACATTTATACAGCAAAGATCTGACTTGAGTGGAGGTACTTGTAGGTCTCAGACAAGTTTTCATAAGTTCACCCATATATCTTGCATGTTAGTGTGCTTGGATTAATTTCCATCTGTCAGAGTCTGCATCTCTATGGCTAAGGGCTCTTGTATTGCAGCTGTAGAAAGTCATGTCACCTGTGAAGGCAACACAGAGAAAAACACTCAACCAATGATTCTGGAGAGCTGATTTGTAAAGACTCTAGCTTCCTCATTCCTGAAGTAGGATAATTCTAGCTGTGTGTTTTTCAACTTTTCTAACAGGTTTCCCTTTAGTTTAAAGTTTAGTTGGTGACTGTGATACTGACTTAATAGTGAACCCTCTTCTGTATCACTTCCCCAGTTCCTACCAATGTGATCTGCATTTCCCGATAAACTAGTTTCCCTGGAATCTTTTCTTCAGAGTCTCTTCTGGGAGAAACTTATCTATGACATTATGTTAACTCCTTCAGTCTCAATTTTCTTATCTCTACGATGGGAACATTAATGTCTATTCTGAAAGTTTGTTAAAGAATTAGTGGTAATGTACACAAAGCGTTTAGCAAATGCCCATCATATAGCAGGCAATCCAGAACATATTAGTGTTTTTTTGTTCAGAAAATTCCCAATTTTAATGTTGAAGATAAGAATATTTTTGTAATAATTAACTAGATCAACTAAATACTTTTTTCCTATCTGTACTGAGGTATAATTGACAAATAAAAATCGTATCTATTTCAGGTATACAAGGTGATGCTCTGATACGTATATTCATTGTGAATAATATATTTGTTAGGTCACTTAGTTACCATTTCCTTTTTATTTTTGTGGTGCGAACATTTGAGATCTAACTTCTTGGTAAACTTCAGCTATATGATAAAGTGTTTTTAGTCACATTACTGTACAGTAGATGTGCTGAACTGATTCATCTTTCATAACTGATGCTGGTCAAAGAGAATGTCCTAGTTTTCATCTCCTTTATTTAATCACCGAACGATGATCACAGTAAGCGGCCTTCATCTCTTAGCCAAGTCTTCAGTGCATTCTAGATTCAGTCTCAGAAGTTCGCATCTGTCATGGAAATCTACATTGTTAGCTGATCAGAGGTACTTCTAGCACTCCCATGCTGGTAGGAGGTCCCAAGAAGGTGACCCAGGTCCCCGACCTTTGTATTTCTCCCAGAGCCAGTATCAATCAATCATTCCGTGGGTGAATGCTTAGCTTACAGCAGTTCAGGACACAAAGCATCAACCTCTGTCTATTATGACTTCTATGAAGACGCAAGTTCTACTTTGCTCCTTTCTTACATTCTTCTGATTTTCCTGGAAACACAAGCTTTTCATTTCTTTAGATGTTTCATATTGGCCTCACAAAATGCAGAAGGCTGTTTCTTTCCCTTCCTTGGCTCAGAGATTATGGATTGTGCCAAGTCTTACATGCCCATTGAGTAGTTTCTCAATTCCCAGCTTTGTTCTTATATAATTTTCCTCATAACATTTCAATTAGGGGACAGATTGTCTTAATGTGGCAAAAGATATGGTCTGTATTTTACAAGAAATAACTCAGTTTCATTTACTTTGTCAATAGGTATTCAGGAGATGAAGGCTGTATAAGAATTTTATTTACATGATATTGAGAATAAGTTTCTTCAGATGAGACTCTCTCTCATGAGCCCACAATAAATTCCCAAGCATTTTTTATGCAGATGCATAGAATGAATGGCTGGTCAGAGGCTGAGACAAAAAGATCCCTGCATTCAGGGCAGTCCCTGCTGCCACATCGTGCAGCTGTTGCTCGCTGAGGTGTGGGAAACTAATTAGGGAATTTTTTTTATCAACAAAAATGTTAGCTGCAAACATGAGAGATTATTTATCTCATTGTTAAATAAACTCAAGTGCATGTCTTGCTAGTGCTGACTTCCAATGTCTTTTCTACTATATTGAGAGTTAAACATAAATGTCCTTGGGCAGAAACAGAGGACCTCAGCTTGGAACAGAGTCTGCCCTTTACTAGCTACATAACATCACACATTAAATTGTACTCAACTGAAAGAATGGAGGTAATAATACGTGATCATATGTTTTGAGAGTCAAATTGGATAATACCTATGATATGTGATATGTATATAAATCCCATATCAGGAATGATTCCAAATAAAACAAAACACCATATGAGATGAGGTTGGTTCCAAGTTTATTCAGAAACATATAGCTAAGAATCTCTGTTACCAGGGACATAACCCAAAGTTATCATGAAAAGAAGAAAGAAGGATACAAGAAACATGAGGAGGATATTGAAAACAAAAATATGATTGTAAAGATTATTGATCAGTTGTAGAAACCTAAATTCCTTAGAAGCAGAGAATGAAGATCTTGAGTTTTGAGTCAAAGCTGAGAACATGACCCCGAATTGAGAACACACGAAGTTGGCACGTGATCCACAAGGTGGAAGGAAAAGGAGAATCAGGATGAAGTATTTTGCTGTCCCTGAAGCAGATTCCCAAGATTCATAAATGCAGAGAATTCATAAAAATTTGGGTGAGGGCATGGTGACTGTCAGCAGCAAACTAAATTAGTCCCCCAAAAGATAAGTCAGTTGAGCAGCAAGTTGTTGTGAGGACGGTGGTTCTCTTGAGACTTAATCAGCAGCAAGAAGGCTGGCAGCAGCTGGACACACAGGTGGGCTGGAAGCAAGTGGTCCTGCAGCAGGTGGTCTCACAGCAGGCTGGGCGGCAGCAGGGCTGGCAGCAGCTGGATCCACAGCTCTGGTTTAGGCAACCAGGCAGGCAGACACATGTGGGGTGGTAGCAGGTTCTTCTGCAGTAGACAGGTGCACAGGAGCTGGTCTGGCCACAGCTGGACCCACAGCTGGTTTGGTCACAGCAGCTTGACCCACAGCAGGAGGGCTGGCAGCAGCTGGTCACACAGGTGGGCTGGCAGCAGGTGTTTTGACAGCAAATTGGGTGGCAGCAAGGCTGGCAACAGCTGGACACACAGCAGGAGGGCTGGCAGCAGGGTGTGCTGCAGCAGGAAGGCTGACAGCAGCTGGTCACACAGGTGGGCTGGCAGCAGGTGTTTTGACAGCAAGTTGGGCGGCAGCAAGGCTGGCAGCAGCTGGACACACAGCAGGTGGGCTGGCAGCAGGGTGTGCTGCTGCAGGTGGTCACACAGGTGGGCTTCCAGCAGGTGGTCCTGCAGCAGGTGGTCCTGCAGCACGTAGCCTGACAGCAAGGGGAGCAACAGTTGGTCATGGTGTCAGGGGTGGAGGGTGGGCTTCTGTTCAGAGGTGAGTTTCCCAGAATGTGATGACCCCTTGCAATCTGGACCTTTTATACACCTGGCCTCCAAAGTTTCCACCAATCAGCAGGACTTTTCCTTGCTGCTGTTTACATTGTTTTCCACAGTGCGTTTGTGATTCTCAAAGGGTAGTTGCTTCCTTAAGGTTAAACAGACTAAGGTTTAATCTGTTTCTTAATTGTTAATTACTCATAGAAACTTCGTTTCAGATAAAAGGAAGCCCATTTCATCATCTGCATCTTTCCTGCTCTGACCATCATCTGGTCATGTGATAGTTCCTGGTGATCCGGGAGGCTCAGGAAGTTCTCTCTGCCCAGCCTCATAGTTGGCTGTATGTAGACTGGGAAGTGTCTGTGAGGAGAAGCATGATGCTGATATATTTATGGTGACAAAAGGAATCCATGCCTGGGCCCAAGACTATTCACCCACCAAATTCTAGCTCAAGACTAACAGGCATCTCTCTATGCAACCCTCACCACCTGTGTCTTTCAGTTCTTTGAACATCACTTGGGAAGAGGGTGTCTGGCAGAGTGTGTTCCATGTGGCAGAGCAGATTGAGAGCAGGTGGATGCAGAGAAATCCACTGGGATTTAGACAGCATCAAGCAATCTACGCCCTGAGTGACCAGTCATTCTGATTTGTCTGCGAGTGTGGCGATTACCAGGACGAGAATGTATGACTTTCTATGACATAACTGATTGAGATTCAGGCCAACCAGCATGCGCTCTGGCTCTAGCTGCAACCCGGTTACTAGCACAGTAAGCATTATGTCTTCTCTCTTTCTTTTTAATGAAGGAATTAGATGAGTTGATATGACGCCTGGTTCATCGTGGAATTCTAACATGTTTAAAACATTTTCTAGGTATACCATTCATTTGAGAAGAATGCAAAGTATTAATTTCCAGCTTGAGATAGTATTATATTGTAAATACATCTATGGCTCCATTACTAAGTTAGGAAATAGAAATTAATCCCATTCTTTCCCAATTATATCCTCTTATTCATTCCCAAAGACAGCTAATCACTCTATCAAGTTGTAATCCAATAGGTAAGTTTTGGCTTTTTGAAATTTTCATGTGAATAAAAATTATAGCATTTGCTTCTCTATTTATTTGGCATAAACAAAAGTAATGTTTATCGCCGAGTCATTTTGGACTCTTCATACAAGCAAAGCAGCAGAGAGAGAAAGGAGTTACTATTTGGCGAGGGATAATTACTCTCAAGCCATATAGTGTAGCAAAATATATCTATAGCTCAGGAGGTTTACTGAGTATATTAATTTACTAGCACTGCCCTGATGGATTACTGAAAAAGAGTGGCTTAAATTTATTTATCAAAGTTATGAAGACCTCTATTCTGAAATCAAGGTGTTGGCAATATTGTTTTCATCTGAAGGCTGTGAGAGACGTATCTGTTCCAGGTTTCTCTCCTTGACTTGTAGATGTCTATCATTTCCATGTGTGTTTGACAGAATTTTTCTACTATATGCATACTGTCTCCGAATTTCTCTCTTGTAATAGACACAGTCATATTTAATCAGAGGCCTAATTGTTTTCAATGTGAACTTGTCTTATCAGATAACATTTTAAATGATTCTATTTGAATATGAATTTTGAGAGACACAAATTAACCCATAACACTGCAGAATCTCATAATGTGTTCATGCCCAGCGATAACCACAAATGAGTAAAAACAGCAATCACAGTGGACAATTGTATAGAAACTAGAGGCTCAGACCCTTCAGGAAGGAAGCCCTGAGCTACTCTATCAGGCAGTTATCTAGACTAACAAGAATGCTGGCCAGGTGTGAAGGAAGAATAGAACTGGTGGTAATTAATGGAGTTTATGAAACTCAGGTGCACTGTATTATAGCAGAAGTAAGTGTAGATTATTTAATTGGCCTTCATTTTATAGCTCACTTCCTCTCCTTTCTTTTCCTTTCCTTCTTCTTTCTTTCTTTTCTTTCTCTTTTTTCTCTTTCTCTCTTTCTTTCTTTCTTTCTTTCTTTCTTTCTTTCTTTCTTTCTTTCCTTCCTTCCTTCCTTCCTTCCTTCCTTCTTTCCTCCCTCCCTTCCTTCCTTCCTCCATTCCCTTCCCCTCTCTCTTTCTTCTTTCTTTCTTTCTTTATTTCTTTCATTCTTTCTTTCTTTTTCTTTCTTTCTCTTCCTCCCTCTCGCCTCCCTCCATTCCCCTTCCTTCCTTCCTTCCTTCCTTCCTTCCTTCCTTCCTTCCTTCCTTCCTTCCTTCCTTCCATCCTTCCTTCTCTCTCATTCTGTTTTTCTTTCTTTTTCTTCCCTCCTCCTCTTCTGTCCCTTCTCTTTTTTGGCTTCCTCTCTTCCTCTTCTTCCTTCTCCTAGAGCTTGTGGCTGTCCATCATATTTAAGTAGCAAATATTTGACTTGAGTGGAGCTAATTGTGATCGTAGACAAGTTTTCATGATTGCATCCATATATTTTGGATATTAGTGTGCTTGGATTAATTTCCATCTGTCAGTGTCTGCATCTCTGTGCCTAAGGGCTCTTGTATTGCAGCTGTAGAAAGTCATGCCACCTGTGAATGCAACACAGAGGAAAACACTCAACCAGTGATTCTGGAGAGCTGATTTATAAAGACAGTAGCTTCATTCCTGAAGTAGGATAATTCTAGCTGTGTGTTTTTCATCATTTCTGATAATTTTCCCTTTAGTTTAAGCTTTAGTTGGTGACTGTGATACTGACTTAATAATGAACCCTTTTCTGTACCACTTCCCCAATCCCTACCAGTGTGATCTGCACTTCCCAGTAAACTACTTTCACTGGAATCTTTTTTTCAAAGTCTCTTCTATGAGAAACTAATCTATGACAATACGTTCACTCTCTCAGCCTCAAATTTCTCATCTCTACAAAGGGAACATTAATACCTATTTTGAAAGTTTGTTAGAGTTAATAATAATGTACACAAAGCATTTAGCCAATACCCATCAGATAGCAGGCATCCCAGAATTAGTGTTTTTGTTCAGAAAATTCCTAATTTTAACGTTGAAGGTAAGAATATTTTTGTAATAATTAACCAGATCAAATAAATGCATTTTTTTCTAGCTGTATTGAGGTATAATTGACAAATGAAAATTGTGTATATTTCAGGTATACAAGGTGATGCTCTGATATATATATTCATTGTGAATAGCATATTTATTAGGTCACGTAGTTACTATTTCCTTTTTATTTTTGTGGTGTGAACATTTAAGATGTAACTTCTCAGTTAATTTCAGATATATGATAATGTGTTTTTAACTATAATCACATTACTGTACATTAGACATGCTAAACTTATTCATCTCTCATAACTGATGCTAGTCAAGAGAATGTCCTAGTTTTCATCTCCTTTACTTTTCCCTGAATGATGATCACAGTAAGTGGCCGTTATGTCTTAGCCAAATCTACAGAGCATCTAGATTCACAGTCTCAGAAGTTGGCATCTGTCATGGAAATCCACATTGTTAGCTCATCAGAGGTATTTCCACCACTCCCATGCTGGTAGGAGGTCCCAAGAAGGTGACCCAGGTCCCCGACTTTTCAATTTCTCTCAGAGCCAGCATCAATCAATCCTCACATGAGTGAATACTTATCTTACATCAGTTCAGGACCCGAAGCACCAACCTCTGTCTATCATGACTTCTATGAAGGCACAAGTTCTACTTTGCTCCTTTCTTGCCTTCTTCTGATTTCCCTGGAAACAAAAGTTTTTTGTTTCTTTAGATGCTTCATATTGGCCTCACAAAATGTGAAGGTTGTTTTATTCCCTCCTCGGCTCAGAGATTATGGATTGTGCCAAGTCGTACACGCCCAGTGTGTAGTTTGTCAGTTCTCAACTTTGTTCTTAGTTAATTTTCCTCATAAGATTTCAAGTAGGGGACAAATTGTCTTAATGTGGCATAATGTTAAGGTCTGTATTTTACAAGGAATAGCTTAGTTTCATTTAATTTGTCAATAGGTATCCAGGACAGGGGGCCGTATAAATATTTTATTTATATGATACCAAGAATACGTTTCTTCAGATGAGACTCCCTCTCATGAGTCCACAATGAATTCTCAAGCAGTTTTTGATGCAGGTGAATGGAATCAATGGCTGATCAGAGGCTGAGATGAAAAGATCTCTGCATTCAGGGCAGCCATGAAATGCAGTCCCTGCTGCCATATCATGCAACTCTTGCTCACTGAGGTGCAGGAAACTAAGTTGGAAATTAAGTTTATGTGAACAAAAATGTTATCTGCAAATATAAGTGATTAATCCTCTCGTTGTTAAAGAAACTCAAGTGAATGTCTTGCTAGTGCTGACTTCCAATGTCATTTCTACTACATTGAGAGTTAAATGTAAGTGTCCTTGGATAGAAAGAGAGGACCTCAGCTTGGATCAGAATCTGTCCTTATTAGCTACATATCATCACACATTAAATTGTTCTCAGCCAAAAAAATGAAGGTAACAATACATGACCATCTGTTTTGGGAATCAAGCTGGATAATACCTATGGTATATGATATGTGTGTAAATCCCATATCAGAAATGCTTTCAAATAAAACAAAACACCTTATGAGATGAGGATAGTTCAGAGTTTATTCAAAATCATATAGCTAAGAACTTCTGCTACCAGGGACATAACCCAAAGTTATCATGAACACAAGAAAGAAAGGTACAAGAAACGTAAGGAGGATATTGAAAACAAAAATACGATTGCAAAGATTATTGATCAATTGCAGAAACCTAAATTGCTTAGAAGCAGAGAAGGAAGCACTTGAATATCAAGTCAAGCTGGGACAATGACTCCAAATTGAGAACACACGAAGTTGGCACATGATCCACAAGGTGGAAGGAAAAGGAGAATCAGGATGAAGTATTTTGCCATCCGTGAAACAGATTCCCAAGACTCATACACGCAGAGAATTCATAAAAATTTGGGTGAGAGCATGGTGGCTGTCAGCAGCAAAGTAAATTAGTCCCCCAAAAGATAAGTCAGTCGAGCAGAAAGTTCTTGTGTGAGGACGGTGGTTTTCTTGGGATTTGATCAGCAGCAAGAAGGCTGGCAGCAGTTGGACACACAGGTGGGCTGGAAGCAAGTGGTCCTGCAGCAGGTGGTCTCACAGCAGGCTGGGCGGCAGCAGGGCTGGCAGCAGCTGGATCCATAGCTCTGGTTTAGGCAACCAGGCAGGCAGACACATGTGGGGTGGTAGCAGGTCCTTCTGCAGTAGACAGGGGCACAGGAGCTGGTCTGGCCACAGCTGGACCCACAGCTGGTTTGGCCACAGCAGCTTGACCCACAGCAGGTGGGCTGGCAGCAGGGTGTGCTGCAGCAGGAAGGCTGGCAGCAGCTGGTCACACAGGTGGGCTGGCAGCAAGTGTTTTGACAGCAAGTTGGGCGGCAGCAAGGCTGGCAGCAGCTGGACACACAGCAGGTGGGCTGGCAGCAGGGTGTGCTGCTGCAGGTGGTCACACAGGTGGGCTTCCAGCAGGTGGTCCTGCAGCAGGTGGTCCTGCAGCACGTAGGCTGACAGCAAGGGGAGCAACAGTTGGTCATGGTGTCAGGGGTGGAAGGTGGGCTTCTGTTCAGAGGTGAGTTTCCCAGAATGTGATGACCCCTTGCAATCTGGACCTTTTATACACCTGGCCTCCAAAGTTTCCACCAATCAGCAGGACTTTTCCTTGTTGCTGTTTACATTGTTTTCCACAATCCTTTTGGGATTGTCAAAGGGGAAGTTCTTTCTTAAAAGTTATGAATCTGTTGAAAGTAAGGGTTTAATCTGTTTCTTAATTGTGAATTACTCATAGAAACTTCGTTTCAGATGAAAGGAAGCCCATCTCATCATCAGCATCTTTCCTGCTCTGACCATCGTCTGGTCATATGATAGTTCCTGGTGATCTGGGAGGCTCAGGAAGTTCTCTCTGCCCAGCCTCATGGTTGGCTGTATGTGGCATGGGAAGTGTCTGTGGGGAGAAGCATGATGCTGATCTACTTACCGTGACAAAAGGAATCCATGCCTGGGCCCAAGACTACTCACCCACCAAATTCTAGCTCAAGACTAACAGGCATCTCCCTGTGTGCCCCTCACCACCTGTGTCTTTCAGTTCTTTGAACATCACTTGGGAAGAGGGTGTCTGGCAGAGTGTGTTCATGTGGCAGAGCAGATCGAGAGCAGGAGGATGCAGGGAAATCCACTGGGATTTTGACAGCGTCGAACAATCTAAGCCCGGGCATGACTATTCATTCTGACTTGTCTGTGAGTGTGGCGATTACCGGGATGATAATGGAGGACTTTCTATCACATAACTGCTTGAGATTCAGGCCAACGAGTATGAGCTGTGCTTCTAGCCTTAAAACTAGTGACTAGCAAAGTAAGCATCATTTCTTCTCTCTACATATTTCTTTTTAATGAAGGAATTAGATTGGCTGAGATGATACCTGATTCATTGGGGAGTTCTAACATGTTTAAAACATTTTCTAGGTATACCATTCATTTGAGAAGAATGCAAAGTATTAATTTCCAACTTGATATAGTATTATATTGTAAATATACTTATGGCCTCATTACCAGGTTAGGAAATAGAAATTAATCCCATTCTCTCCTAATTATATCCTCTTACTCATTCCCAAAGACAGCTAATCTCTCTATCAAGTTGTAATCCAGTAGGTAACTTTTGGCTTTTTAAAGTCTTCATGTGAGTAAAAAGTGTAGTATTTACTTCTCTATTTCTTTGTCATAAACAAAAGTAATCCTTATCACCTAATAATTTTGGCCTCTTCCTGTCAGCAGAGCAGCAGACAAGAGAAAGGAGTTACTATTTGATGATGGATAGTTATCCTCAAGCCATACAGTGTAGGAGAATATATCTATACCTCAGAAGATTTACTTAGTATATTGATTTACTAGCACTGCTATGATGAATTACTGCAAACCAAGTGGCTTAAATTTATTTTTTCACAGTCCCAATGGCTATTAGTCTGAAATTAAGGTGTTGGCAATGTTGTTTTCGTCTGAAGGCTGCGAGGGAAGGATCTGTTTCCGGTCTTTCTCCTTAACTTGCAGATGCCTATCATTTCCATGTGTGTTTCATATAATTTTTCTACTATATCATACTGTCTGAATTTCCCCCCTGTATAGATATCAGTGATATTTAATCAGAGACCTAAGTGTTTCCCATATGAACTTGTCTTGTCACATAACATTTTAAATGATTCTATTTGTGTATGAATTTTGGTGGACACGAATTAACCCATAACACTGCAGAATCTCGTAGTGTGTCCATGCCCAGTGATAACCACAGATGAGTAAGAACAGCAATCACAGTGGACAGTGGTATAGTAACGAGAGGCTCAGACCCTTCAGGAAGGAAGTTCTGAGCTACTCTATCAGCAATTAATTAGACCAAGAAGAATGCTGTCCAGGGGTGAAGGGAGAATAGAACTGGTGATAATTAATGGAGATTGTGAATCTCAGGTGCACTGTATTACAGCAGCAGTAGGTGTAGCTTATGTCATTGGCCTTCATTTTACATCTCACTTCCTCCTTTTTCTTTTTCTTTCTTTTTCTCTTTCTTTCTTCCTTCTTTCTTTTCTTTTCTTTTCTTGTCTTCCCTTTCTTTCTTTCTTTCTTTCCTTCTTTCTCTTTCTTTCTTTCTTTCTTTCCTTCTTTCTTTCTTGTTTCTTTCTTTCTTTTTTTTCTTTCTTTTTTTCTTTTTCTTTCTTCCTTTCTTTTCCTTCCTTCTCTCTGTTGTTCTGTTTTTCTTTCTTTCGTCTTTCCTCCTCTTCTCATCTTCTGTCCCTTCCCTTCCTCCTCTTCCTCTCTTCCTCTTCTTCCTTCTCCTACAGCTTGTGGCTGTCCATCGTATTTAAGTAGCAATATTTGACTTGAGTGGAGCTAATTGTAGGTCATAGACAAGTTTTCATGACTGCACCCATATATCTTGGATATTAATGTGCTTGGATTAATTTCCATCTGTCAAAATCTGCATCTCTGTGCCTAAGGGCTCTTGTATTGCAGCTGTAGAAAGTCATGCCACCTGTGAATGCAACACAGAGAAAAACACTCAACCAGTGATTCTGGAGAGCTGATTTATAAAGACTCTAGCTTCCTCATTCCTGAAGTAGGATAATTCTAGCTGTGTGTTTTTCATCATTTCTGATAATTTTCCCTTTAGTTTAAGCTTTAGTTGGTGACTGTGATACTGACTTAATAGTGAACCCTTTTCTGTATCACTTCCCCAATCCCTACCAGTGTGATCTGCACTTCCCAGTAAACTACTTTCACTGGAATCTTTTTTTCAGAGTCTCTTCTATGAGAAACTAATCTATGACAATACGTTCACTCTCTCAGCCTCAAATTTCTCATCTCTACAAAGGGAACATTAATACTTATGTTGAAAAATTGTGAAAGAGTTAATAATAAGGTACACAAAGCACTTAGCCAATACCCATCAGATAGCAGGCATCCCAGAATTAGTGTTTTTTTGTTCAGAAAATTCCTAATTTTCATGTTGAAGATAAGAATATTTTTGTAATAATTAACTAGATCAACTAAATAAATTTTTTTCTAGCTGTACTGAGGTATAATTGACAAATGAAAATTGTGTATATTTCAGGTATACAAGGTGATGCTCTGATATATATATTCATTGTAAATAGCATATTTATTAGGTCATGTAGTTACCATTTCCTTTTTATTTTTGTGGTGTGAACATTTAAGATGTAACTTCTCAGTTAATTTCAGATATATGATAATATGTTTTTAACTATAGTCACATTGCTGTACATTAGACATGCTGAACTTATTCATCTTTCATAACTGATGCTAGTCAAGAGAATGTCCTAGTTTTCATCTCCTTTACTTCATCCCTGAACGATGATCACAGTAAGTGGCTGTTATCTCTTAGCCAAGTCTTCAGAGCATCTACATTCACAGTCTCAAAAGTTGGCATCTGTCATGGAAATCCACATTGTTAGCTCATCAGAGGTATTTCCACCACTCCCATGCTGGTAGGAGGTCCCAAGAAGGTGACCCAGGTCCCCGACTTTTCAATTTCTCTCAGAGTCAGCATCAATCAATCCTTACATGAGTGAATGCTTATCTTACATCAGTTCAGGACCCGAAGCATTCAGGACCCGAAGCCCCAACCTCTGTCTATCATGACTTCTATGAAGGCACAAGTTCTACTTTGCTCCTTTCTTGCCTTCTTCTGATTTCCCTGGAAACAAAAGTTTTTTGTTTCTTTAGATGCTTCATATTGGCCTCACAAAATGTGAAGGTTGTTTTATTCCCTCCTCGGCTCAGAGATTATGGATTGTGCCAAGTCGTACACGCCCAGTGTGTAGTTTGTCAGTTCTCAACTTTGTTCTTAGTTAATTTTCCTCATAAGATTTCAAGTAGGGGACAAATTGTCTTAATGTGGCATAATGTTAAGGTCTGTATTTTACAAGGAATAGCTTAGTTTCATTTAATTTGTCAATAGGTATCCAGGACAGGGGGCCGTATAAATATTTTATTTATATGATACCAAGAATACGTTTCTTCAGATGAGACTCCCTCTCATGAGTCCACAATGAATTCTCAAGCAGTTTTTGATGCAGGTGAATGGAATCAATGGCTGATCAGAGGCTGAGATGAAAAGATCTCTGCATTCAGGGCAGCCATTAAATGCAGTCCCTGCTGCCATATCATGCAACTCTTGCTCACTGAGGTGCAGGAAACTAAGTTGGAAATTAAGTTTATGTGAACAAAAATGTTATCTGCAAATATAAGTGATTAATCCTCTCGTTGTTAAAGAAACTCAAGTGCATGTCTTGCTAGTGCTGACTTCCAATGTCATTTCTACTATATTGAGAGTTAAATGTAAGTGTCCTTGGATAGAAAGAGAGGACCTCAGCTTGGATCAGAATCTGTCCTTATTAGCTACATATCATCACACATTAAATTGTTCTCAGCCAAAAAAATGAAGGTAACAATACATGACCATCTGTTTTGGGAATCAAGCTGGATAATACCTATGGTATATGATATGTGTGTAAATCCCATATCAGAAATGCTTTCAAATAAAACAAAACACCTTATGAGATGAGGATAGTTCAGAGTTTATTCAAAATCATATAGCTAAGAACTTCTGCTACCAGGGACATAACCCAAAGTTATCATGAACACAAGAAAGAAGGATACAAGAAACATAAGGAGGATATTGAAAACAAAAATACAATTGCAAAGATTATTGATCAATCGCAGAAACCTAAATTCCTTAGAAGCAGAGAATGAAGATCTTGAGTTTTGAGTCAAAGCTGAGACCATGACCCCGAATTGATGACACACGAAGCTGGCACATGATCCACAAGGTGGAAGGAAAAGGAGAATCAGGATGAAGTATTTTGCTGTCCCTGAAGCAGATTCCCAAGACTCATACACGCAGAGAATTCATAAAAATTTGGGTGAGAGCATGGTGGCTGTCAGCAGCAAAGTAAATTAGTCCCCCAAAAGATAAGTCAGTCGAGCAGAAAGTTCTTGTGTGAGGACGGTGGTTTTCTTGGGATTTGATCAGCAGCAAGAAGGCTGGCAGCAGTTGGACACACAGGTGGGCTGGAAGCAAGTGGTCCTGCAGCAGGTGGTCTCACAGCAGGCTGGGCGGCAGCAGGGCTGGCAGCAGCTGGATCCATAGCTCTGGTTTAGGCAACCAGGCAGGCAGACACATGTGGGGTGGTAGCAGGTCCTTCTGCAGTAGACAGGGGCACAGGAGCTGGTCTGGCCACAGCTGGACTCACAGCTGGTTTGGCCACAGCAGCTTGACCCACAGCAGGTGGGCTGGCAGCAGGGTGTGCTGCAGCAGGAAGGCTGGCAGCAGCTGGTCACACAGGTGGGCTGGCAGCAAGTGTTTTGACAGCAAGTTGGGCGGCAGCAAGGCTGGCAGCAGCTGGACACACAGCAGGTGGGCTGGCAGCAGGGTGTGCTGCTGCAGGTGGTCACACAGGTGGGCTTCCAGCAGGTGGTCCTGCAGCAGGTGGTCCTGCAGCACGTAGGCTGACAGCAAGGGGAGCAACAGTTGGTCATGGTGTCAGGGGTGGAAGGTGGGCTTCTGTTCAGAGGTGAGTTTCCCAGAATGTGATGACCCCTTGCAATCTGGACCTTTTATACACCTGGCCTCCAAAGTTTCCACCAATCAGCAGGACTTTTCCTTGTTGCTGTTTACATTGTTTTCCACAATCCTTTTGGGATTGTCAAAGGGGAAGTTCTTTCTTAAAAGTTATGAATCTGTTGAAAGTAAGGGTTTAATCTGTTTCTTAATTGTGAATTACTCATAGAAACTTCGTTTCAGATGAAAGGAAGCCCATCTCATCATCAGCATCTTTCCTGCTCTGACCATCGTCTGGTCATATGATAGTTCCTGGTGATCTGGGAGGCTCAGGAAGTTCTCTCTGCCCAGCCTCATGGTTGTCTGTATGTGGCATGGGAAGCGCCTGTGGGGAGAAGCATGATGCTGATCTACTTACCGTGACAAAAGGAATCCATGCCTGGGCCCAAGACTACTCACCCACCAAATTCTAGCTCAAGACTAACAGGCATCTCCCTGTGTGCCCCTCACCACCTGTGTCTTTCAGTTCTTTGAACATCACTTGGGAAGAGGGTGTCTGGCAGAGTGTGTTCATGTGGCAGAGCAGATCAAGAGCAGGTCGATGCAGGGAAATCCACTGGGATTTTGACAGTTTCGAACAATCTAAGCCCGGGCGTGACTATTCATTCTGACTTGTCTGTGAGTGTGGCGATTACCGGGATGATAATGGAGGACTTACTATCACATAACTGCTTGAGATTCAGGCCAACGAGTATGAGCTGTGCTTCTAGCCTTAAAACTAGTGACTAGCAAAGTAAGCATCATTTCTTCTCTCTACATATTTCTTTTTAATGAAGGAATTAGATGAGCTGAGATGATACCTGATTCATCGGGGAGTTCTAACATGTTTAAAACATTTTCTAGGTATACCATTCATTTGAGAAGAATGCAAAGTATTAATTTCCAACTTGATATAGTATTATATTGTAAATATATTTATGGCCCCATTACCAGGTTAGGAAATAGAAATTAATCCCATTCTCTCCTAATTATTCCTCTTACTCATTCCCAAAGACAGCTAATCTCTCTATCAAGTTGTAATCCAGTAGTAACTTTTGGCTTTTAAAAGTCTTCATGTGAGTAAAAGTGTAGTATTTATTTCTCTATTTCTTTGTCATAAACAAAAGTAATCCTTATCACCTAGTAATTTTGGCCTCTTCCTGTCAGCAGAGCAGCAGACAAGAGAAAGGAGTTACTATTTGATGATGGGTAGTTATCCTCAAGCCATACAGTGTAGGAGAATATATCTATACCTCAGAAGATTTACTTAGTATATTGTTTTACTAGCACTGCTATGATGAATTACTGCAAACCAAGTGGCTTAAATTTATTTTTTCACAGTCCCAATGGCTATTAGTCTGAAATTAAGGTGTTGGCAATGTTGTTTTCGTCTGAAGGCTGCGAGGGAAGGATCTGTTTCCGGTCTTTCTCCTTAACTTGCAGATGCCTATCATTCCCATGTGTGTTTCATATAATTTTTCTACTATATCATACTGTCTGAATTTCCCCCATGTATAGATATCAGTGATATTTAATCAGAGACCTAAGTGTTTCCCATATGAACTTGTCTTGTCACATAACATTTTAAATGATTCTATTTGTGTATGAATTTTGGTGGACACGAATTAACCCATAACACTGCAGAATCTCGTAGTGTGTCCATGCCCAGTGATAACCACAGATGAGTAAGAACAGCAATCACAGTGGACAGTGGTATAGTAACGAGAGGCTCAGACCCTTCAGGAAGGAAGTTCTGAGCTACTCTATCAGCAATTAATTAGACCAAGAAGAATGCTGTCCAGGGGTGAAGGGAGAATAGAACTGGTGATAATTAATGGAGATTGTGAATCTCAGGTGCACTGTATTACAGCAGCAGTAGGTGTAGCTTATGTCATTGGCCTTCATTTTACATCTCACTTCCTCTTTTTCTTTTTTCTTTTTTTTTCTTTCTTTTTCTTCTTTCTTTTCTTTTCTTTTTTTTTCTTTCTTTTTTTCTTTCTTTCTTCTTCCTTTCTTTTTCTTTCTTTCTTTCCTTCTTCTTTCTTTCTTTCTTTCTTTCTTCTTTCTCTTTTTTCTTTCTTTTCTTTTCTTTCTTTCTTCCCTTTCTTTTCCTTCTTCCTTCTCTTCCTGTTTTTCTTTTTTTCTTTCTTTCCTTTCGTCTTTCCTCCCTCTTCTCATCTTCTGTCCCTTCCCTTCCTCCTCTTCCTCTCTTCCTCTTCTTCCTTCTCCTACAGCTTGTGGCTGTCCATCGTATTTAAGTAGCAATATTTGACTTGAGTGGAGCTAATTGTAGGTCATAGACAAGTTTTCATGACTGCACCCATATATCTTGGATATTAATGTGCTTGGATTAATTTCCATCTGTCAAAATCTGCATCTCTGTGCCTAAGGGCTCTTGTATTGCAGCTGTAGAAAGTCATGCCACCTGTGAATGCAACACAGAGAAAAACACTCAACCAGTGATTCTGGAGAGCTGATTTATAAAGACTCTAGCTTCCTCATTCCTGAAGAAGGATAATTCTAGCTGTGTGTTTTTCATCATTTCTGATAATTTTCCCTTTAGTTTAAGCTTTAGTTGGTGACTGTGATACTGACTTAATAGTGAACCCTTTTCTGTATCACTTCCCCAATCCCTACCAGTGTGATCTGCACTTCCCAGTAAACTACTTTCACTGGAATCTTTTTTCAGAGTCTCTTCTATGAGAAACTAATCTATGACAATACGTTCACTCTCTCAGCCTCAAATTTCTCATCTCTACAAAGGGAACATTAATACTTATGTTGAAAATTGTAAAGAGTTAATAATAAGGTACACAAAGCACTTAGCCATACCCATCAGATAGCAGGCATCCCAGAATTAGTGTTTTTTTGTTCAGAAAATTCCTAATTTTCATGTTGAAGATAAGAATATTTTTGTAATAATTAACTAGATCAACTAAATAAATTTTTTCTAGCTGTACTGAGGTATAATTGACAAATGAAAATTGTGTATATTTCAGATATACAAGGTGATGCTCTGATATATATATTCATTGTAAATAGCATATTTATTAGGTCATGTAGTTGCCATTTCCTTTTTATTTTTGTGGTGTGAACATTTAAGATGTAACTTCTCAGTTAATTTCAGATATATGATAATATGTTTTTAACTATAGTCACATTGCTGTACATTAGACATGCTGAACTTATTCATCTTTCATAACTGATGCTAGTCAAGAGAATGTCCTAGTTTTCATCTCCTTTACTTCATCCCTGAACGATGATCACAGTAAGTGGCTGTTATTTCTTAGCCAAGTCTTCAGAGCATCTACATTCACAGTCTCAAAAGTTGGCATCTGTCATGGAAATCCACATTGTTAGCTCATCAGAGGTATTTCCACCACTCCCATGCTGGTAGGAGGTCCCAAGAAGGTGACCCAGGTCCCCGACTTTTCAATTTCTCTCAGAGTCAGCATCAATCAATCCTTACATGAGTGAATGCTTATCTTACATCAGTTCAGGACCCGAAGCACCAACCTCTGTCTATCATGACTTCTATGAAGGCACAAGTTCTACTTTGTTCCATTCTTACCTTATTCTGATTTCCCTGGAAAGAAAAGTTTTTTGTTTCTTTAGATGCTTCATATTGGCCTCACAAAATGTGAAGGTTGTTTTATTCCCTCCTCGGCTCAGAGATTATGGATTGTGCCAAGTCGTACACGCCCAGTGTGTAGTTTGTCAGTTCTCAGCTTTGTTCTTAGTTAATTTTCCTCATAAGATTTCAAGTAGGGGACAAATTGTCTTAATGTGGCATAATGTTAAGGTCTGTATTTTACAAGGAATAGCTTAGTTTCATTTAATTTGTCAGTAGGTATCCAGGACAGGGGGCCGTATAAATATTTTATTTATATGATACCAAGAATACGTTTCTTCAGATGAGACTCCCTCTCATGAGTCCACAATGAATTCTCAAGCAGTTTTTGATGCAGGTGAATGGAATCAATGGCTGATCAGAGGCTGAGATGAAAAGATCTCTGCATTCAGGGCAGCCATGAAATGCAGTCCCTGCTGCCATATCATGCAACTCTTGCTCACTGAGGTGCAGGAAACTAAGTTGGAAATTAAGTTTATGTGAACAAAAATGTTATCTGCAAATATAAGTGATTAATCCTCTCGTTGTTAAAGAAACTCAAGTGCATGTCTTGCTAGTGCTGACTTCCAATGTCATTTCTACTATATTGAGAGTTAAATGTAAGTGTCCTTGGATAGAAAGAGAGGACCTCAGCTTGGATCAGAATCTGTCCTTATTAGCTACATATCATCACACATTAAATTGTTCTCAGCCAAAAAAATGAAGGTAACAATACATGACCATCTGTTTTGGGAATCAAGCTGGATAATACCTATGGTATATGATATGTGTGTAAATCCCATATCAGAAATGCTTTCAAATAAAACAAAACACCTTATGAGATGAGGATAGTTCAGAGTTTATTCAAAATCATATAGCTAAGAACTTCTGCTACCAGGGACATAACCCAAAGTTATCATGAACACAAGAAAGAAAGATACAAGAAACATAAGGAGGATATTGAAAACAAAAATACGATTGCAAAGATTATTGATCAATCGCAGAAACCTAAATTGCTTAGAAGCAGAGAAGGAAGATCTTGGGTTTTGAGTCAAAGCTGAGACCATGACCCCGAATTGAGAACACACGAAGCTGGCACATGATCCACAAGGTGGAAGGAAAAGGAGAATCAGGATGAAGTATTTTGCTGTCCCTGAAGCAGATTCCCAAGATTTATACACGCAGAGAATTCATAAAAATTTGGGTGAGAGCATGGTGGCTGTCAGCAGCAAAGTAAATTAGTCCCCCAAAAGATAAGTCAGTCGAGCAGAAAGTTCTTGTGTGAGGACGGTGGTTCTCTTGGGACTTGATCAGCAGCAAGAAGGCTGGCAGCAGCTGGACACACAGGTGGGCTGGAAGCAAGTGGTCCTGCAGCAGGTGGTCTCACAGCAGGCTGGGCGGCAGCAGGGCTGGCAGCAGCTGGATCCATAGCTCTGGTTTAGGCAACCAGGCAGGCAGACACATGTGGGGTGATAGCAGGTTCTTCTGCAGTAGACAGGTGCACAGGAGCTGATCTGGCCACAGCTGGACCCACAGCTGGTTTGGCCACAGCAGCTTGACCCACAGCAGGTGGGCTGGCAGCAGGGTGTGCTGCAGCAGGAAGGCTGGCAGCAGCTGGTCACACAGGTGGGCTGGCAGCAAGTGTTTTGACAGCAAGTTGGGCGGCAGCAAGGCTGGCAGCAGCTGGACACACAGCAGGAGGGCTGGCAGCAGGGTGTGCTGCTGCAGGTGGTCACACAGGTGGGCTTCCAGCAGGTGGTCCTGCAGCAGGTGGTCCTGCAGCACGTAGGCTGACAGCAAGGGGAGCAACAGTTGGTCATGGTGTCAGGGGTGGAAGGTGGGCTTCTGTTCAGAGGTGAATTTCCCAGAATCTGATGACCCCTTGCAATCGGGACCTTTTATACACCTGGCCTCCAAAGTTTCCACCAATCAGCAGGACTTTTCCTTGTTGCTATTTACATTGTTTTCCACAATCCTTTTGGGATTGTCAAAGGGGAAGTTCTTTCTTAAAAGTTATGAATCTGTTGAAAGTAAGGGTTTAATCTGTTTCTTAATTGTGAATTACTCATAGAAACTTCGTTTCAGATGAAAGGAAGCCCATCTCATCATCAGCATCTTTCCTGCTCTGACCATCGTCTGGTCATATGATAGTTCCTGGTGATCTGGGAGGCTCAGGAAGTTCTCTCTGCCCAGCCTCATGGTTGTCTGTATGTGGCATGGGAAGTGCCTGTGGGGAGAAGCATGATGCTGATCTACTTACCGTGACAAAAGGAATCCATGCCTGGGCCCAAGACTACTCACCCACCAAATTCTAGCTCAAGACTAACAGGCATCTCCCTGTGTGCCCCTCACCACCTGTGTCTTTCAGTTCTTTGAACATCACTTGGGAAGAGGGTGTCTGGCAGAGTGTGTTCATGTGGCAGAGCTGATCAAGAGCAGGTCGATGCAGGGAAATCCACTGGGATTTTGACCGCGTCGAACAATCTAAGCCCGGGCGTGACTATTCATTCTGACTTGTCTGTGAGTGTGGCGATTACCGGGATGATAATGGAGGACTTTCTATCACATAACTGCTTGAGATTCAGGCCAACGAGTATGAGCTGTGCTTCTAGCCTTAAAACTAGTGACTAGCAAAGTAAGCATCATTTCTTCTCTCTACATATTTCTTTTTAATGAAGGAATTAGATGAGCTGAGATGATACCTGATTCATTGGGGAGTTCTAACATGTTTAAAACATTTTCTAGGTATACCATTCATTTGAGAAGAATGCAAAGTATTAATTTCCAACTTGATATAGTATTATATTGTAAATATATTTATGGCCCCATTACCAGGTTAGGAAATAGAAATTAATCCCATTCTCTCCTAATTATATCCTCTTACTCATTCCCAAAGACAGCTAATCTCTCTATCAAGTTGTAATCCAGTAGGTAACTTTTGGCTTTTAAAAGTCTTCATGTGAGTAAAAAGTGTAGTATTTATTTCTCTATTTCTTTGTCATAAACAAAAGTAATCCTTATCACCTAGTAATTTTGGCCTCTTCCTGTCAGCAGAGCAGCAGACAAGAGAAAGGAGTTACTATTTGATGATGGATAGTTATCCTCAAGCCATACAGTGTAGGAGAATATATCTATACCTCAGAAGATTTACTTAGTATATTGATTTACTAGCACTGCTATGATGAATTACTGCAAACCAAGTGGCTTAAATTTATTTTTTTAACAGTCCCAAAGACTATTAGTCTGAAATTAAGGTGTTGGCAATGTTGTTTTCGTCTGAAGGCTGCCAGGGAAGGATCTGTTTCCGGTCTTTCTCCTTAACTTGCAGATGCCTATCATTCCCATGTGTGTTTCATATAATTTTTCTACTATATCATACTGTCTGAATTTCCCCCATGTATAGATATCAGTGATATTTAATCAGAGACCTAAGTGTTTCCCATATGAACTTGTCTTGTCACATAACATTTTAAATGATTCTATTTGTGTATGAATTTTGGTGGACACGAATTAACTCATAACACTGCAGAATCTCATAGTGTGTCCATGCCCAGTGATAACCACAGATGAGTAAGAACAGCAATCACAGTGGACAGTGGTATAGTAACGAGAGGCTCAGACCCTTCAGGAAGGAAGTTCTGAGCTACTCTATCAGCAATTAATTAGACCAAGAAGAATGCTGTCCAGGGGTGAAGGGAGAATAGAACTGGTGATAATTAATGGAGATTGTGAATCTCAGGTGCACTGTATTACAGCAGCAGTAGGTGTAGCTTATGTCATTGGCCTTCATTTTACATCTCACTTCCTCCTTTTTCTTTTTCTTTCTTTTTCTCTTTCTTTCTTCCTTCTTTCTTTTCTTTTCTTGTCTTTCCTTTCTTTCTTTCCTTCTTTCTTTCTTGTTTCTGTCTTTCTTTTTTTTTCCCTTTTTTTTTCTTTTTCTTTCTTCCTTTCTTTTCCTTCCTTCTCTCTGTTGTTCTGTTTTTCTTTCTTTCGTCTTTCCTCCTCTTCTCATCTTCTGCCCCTTCCCTTCCTCCTCTTCCTCTCTTCCTCTTCTTCCTTCTCCTAAAGCTTGTGGCTGTCCATCATATTTAAGTAGCAATATTTGACTTGAGTGGAGCTAATTGTAGGTCATAGACAAGTTTTCATGACTGCACCCATATATCTTGGATATTAATGTGCTTGGATTAATTTCCATCTGTCAAAATCTGCATCTCTGTGCCTAAGGGCTCTTGTATTGCAGCTGTAGAAAGTCATGCCACCTGTGAGTGCAACACAGAGAAAAACACTCAACCAGTGATTCTGGAGAGCTGATTTATAAAGACTCTAGCTTCCTCTTTCCTGAAGAAGGATAATTCTAGCTGTGTGTTTTTCATCATTTCTGATAATTTTCCCTTTAGTTTAAGCTTTAGTTGCTGACTGTGATACTGACTTAATAGTGAACCCTTTTCTGTATCACTTCCCCAATCCCTACCAGTGTGATCTGCACTTCCCAGTAAACTACTTTCACTGGAATCTTTTTTTCAGAGTCTCCTCTTTGAGAAACTAATCTATGACAATATGTTCACTCTCTCAGCCTCAAATTTCTCATCTCTACAAAGGGAACATTAATACCTATTTTGAAAGTTTGTTAAAGAGTTAATAATAAGGTACACAAAGCACTTAGCCAATACCCATCCGATAGCAGGCATCCCAGAATTAGTGTTTTTTTGTTCAGAAAATTCCTAATTTTCATGTTGAAGATAAGAATATTTTTGTAATAATTAACTAGATCAACTGAATACATTTTTTTCTAGCTGTACTGAGGTATAATTGACAAATGAAAATTGTGTATATTTCAGGTATACAAGGTGATGCTCTGATATATATATTCATTGTAAATAGCATATTTATTAGGTCACGTAGTTACCATTTCCTTTTTATTTTTGTGGTGTGAACATTTAAGATCTACCTTCTCAGTTAATTTCAGATATATGATAAAGTGTTTTTCGCTATAGTCACATTACTGTACATTAGAAATGCTGAACTTATTCATGTTTCATAACTGATGCTATTCAAGAGAATGTCCTAGCTTTCATCTCCTTTACTTCATCCCTGAACGATGATCACAGTAAGTGGCCGTTATCTCTTAGCCAAGTCTTCAGAGCATCTAGATTCAGTTTCAAAAGTTGGCATCTGTCATGGAAATCCACATTGTTAGCTCATCAGAGGTATTTCCACCACTCCCATGCTGGTAGGAGATCCCAAGAAGGTGATCCAGGTCCCCGACTTTTCAATTTCTCTCAGAGCCAGTAGCAATCAATCCTTACATGAGTGAATGCTTATCTTACATCAGTTCAGGACCCGAAGCACCAACCTCTGTCTATCATGACTTCTATGAAGGCACAAGTTCTACTTTGTTCCTTTCTTACCTTCTTCTGATTTCCCTGGAAACAAAAGTTTTTTGTTTCTTTAGATGCTTCATATTGGCCTCACAAAATGTGAAGGTTGTTTTATTCCCTCCTCGGCTCAGAGATTATGGATTGTGCCAAGTCGTACACGCCCAGTGTGTAGTTTGTCAGTTCTCAGCTTTGTTCTTAGTTAATTTTCCTCATAAGATTTCAAGTAATGGAAAAATTGTCTTAATGTGGCATAATGTATGGTCTGTATTTTACAAGGAATAACTTAGTTTCACATACTTCATCAATAGGTATTCAGAAGACAGAGGCTGCATAAAAATTTTATTTACATGATACTGAGTAAAAGTTTCTTCAGATAGACTCCCTCTCATGAGTCCACAATACATTCTCAAGCATTTTTTGTTGCAGTAAAAGTGAATGAATGGCTGGTTGGAGACTGAGAAAACACAGTCCCTGCACTCAGGGCAGCCATTAAATGCAGTTCCTGCTGCCATATAATGCACCTGTTCCTCATTCAGGTGTGGGAAATTATGCTGGTAATTTTTTTTGTGTGTTAACAAAAACGTTATCTGCAAATATGAGAGATTATTCCTCTCACTGTTACATAAACTCAAGTGCAAGTCTTGCTAATGCTGACTTCCAATGTCATTTCACTATATTGAGAGTTAAATGTAAGTGCTCTCGGCCAGAAAGAGAGAACTTCACCTTGGACCAGAATCTGCCCTTTAGTAGTTACATAACATCACACATTAAATTGTTCTCAACTCAAAAAAAAGGTAATAACAGATGATTGTCTGTTTTGAGAATCAAATTGGATAATACCTATCGTATGTGATATATGTGTAAATCCCATATCAGAAATATTTTTAAATAAAACAAAACAGCATATGAGATGAGGATGGTTCAGACTTTATTCAGAAACATAGCTAAGAATTTCTGCTACCAGGGACATAACTCAAAGTTATCATGAAAAAAGAAAAAAGGATACAAGAACCATGAGGACGATATTGAAAACAAAAATATAATTGCAAAGTTTATCGATCAGTTGCAGAAACCTAAATTCCTTAGAAGCAGAGAATGAAACTCTTGACTTTCAAGTGAAAGCTGAGACCATGACTCCAAATTGAGAACACACGAAGCTGGCACATGATCCACAAGGTGGAAGGTAAAAGAGAATCAGGATGAAGTATTCTGCCCTCCCTCAAACAGATTCCCAAGATTTTAAACATGCAGATAATTCATAAAAATTTGGGTGAGAGCACAGTGGCTGTCAGCAGCAAAGTAAATTAGTCCCCCAAAAGATCAGTCAATTGAGCAGAAGGTTCTTGTGTGAGGACGGTGGTTCTCTTGGGAGTTGATCAACAGCAAGAAGGCTGGCAGCAGTTGGTCACACAGGTGGGCTGGAAGCAAGTGGTCCTGCAGCAGGTGGTCTCACAGCAGGCTGGGCGGCAGCAGGGCTGGCAGCAGCTGGATCCATAGCTCTGGTTTAGGCAACCAGGCAGGCAGACACATGTGGGGTGGTAGCAGGTTCTTCTGCAGTAGACAGGGGCACAGGAGCTGATCTGGCCACAGCTGGACCCACAGCTGGTTTGGCCACAGCAGCTGGACCCACAGCAGGTGGGCTGGCAGCAGGGTGTGCTGCAGCAGGAAGGCTGGCAGCAGCTGGTCACACAGGTGGGCTGGCAGCAAGTGTTTTGACAGCAAGTTGGGCGGCAGCAAGGCTGGCAGCAGCTGGACACACAGCAGGAGGGCTGGCAGCAGGGTGTGCTGCTGCAGGTGGTCACACAGGTGGGCTTCCAGCAGGTGGTCCTGCAGCAGGTGGTCCTGCAGCACGTAGGCTGACAGCAAGGGGAGCAACAGTTGGTCATGGTGTCAGGGGTGGAAGGTGGGCTTCTGTTCAGAGGTGAATTTCCCAGAATCTGATGACCCCTTGCAATCGGGACCTTTTATACACCTGGCCTCCAAAGTTTCCACCAATCAGCAGGACTTTTCCTTGTTGCTATTTACATTGTTTTCCACAATCCTTTTGGGATTGTCAAAGGGGAAGTTCTTTCTTAAAAGTTATGAATCTGTTGAAAGTAAGTGTTTAATCTGTTTCTTAATTGTGAATTACTCATAGAAACTTTGTTTCAGATGAAAGGAAGCCCATCTCATCATCAGCATCATTCCTGCTCTGACCATCATCTGGTCATGTGATAGGTCCTGGTAATATGGGAGACTCACGTACTTCTTTCTGCCCAGCCTCACGGTTGGCTGAATGTGGTCTGAGAAGTGCCTGTGGGGAGAAGTATGATGTTGATAAATTTATGGTGACAAAATGAATCCATTCCTGGGCCCAAGACTATTCACCCACCAAATTCTGATTGAAGACTAATAGGTATCTCTCTCTGTGCAACCCTGACCACCTGTGTCTTTCAGTTCTTTGAATGTCACTTGGGAAGAGAGTATCTGGCAGAGTGTGTTCCATGTGGCAGAGCAGATTGAGAGCAAGTGGATGCAGAGAATTCCACTGGGATTTAGAGAGCATAAAGCAATGTATGCCCTGGGGCGACCAGTCATTCTGACTTACCTGTGAGTGTGGTGATTACCAGGATGAGAATGCAGGACTTTCTATCACATAACTGGTTGAGATTCAGACCAACCAGCATGTGCTGTGGCTCTAGCCTTAAACCTAGTTACTAGCACAGTAAGCGTCATTTCTTCTCTCCATTTTTTAAAATGAAGAATTAGATGAGTTGAGATGATACCTGATTCATCATGGAGTTCTAATATGTTTAAACCATTTTCTAGGTATACCATTCATTTGAGAAAAATGCAAATTATTAATTTCCAACTTGATATAATATTATATTGTAAATACATCTATGTCCCCATTACCAGGTTAGGAAATAGAAATTAATCCCATTCTCTCCCAATTATATCCTCTTACTCTTTCTCAAGGACAACTAATCACTCTATCAAGTTGTAATCCAGTAGGTAACTTTTGGCTTTTTAAAGTTTTCATGTGAATAAAAAGTATAGTATTTGCTTCTCTATTTGTTTGTCATAATCAAAAGGAATCAGTATCACCTAGTCATTTTGGACTCTTCCTGTCAGCAGAGCAGCAGACAGAGAAAGGAGTTACTATTTGGTGAGGGGTAATTATCCTTAAGCCATATAGTATAGCAGAATGTATTTATAGCTCAGGATACTTAGTAAGTATATTAACTTACTAGCACTGCCATGATAAATTACTGTAAACCAAGTGGCTTAGATTTATTTTTTCACAGTTCCAAAATTAAGGTGTTTGCAATGTTTTCATCTGAAGGCTGTGAGGGAAGTGTCTGTTCCACGTTTCTCTCCTTGACTTGTTGATGTCTATCATTTCCATGTATGTTTGACATAATTTTTCTACTATATGCATACTGTCTCTGAATTTCTCCTTTCTATGCAGACATCAGTCATATTTAATCAGAGGACCAATTGTTTCCAATATGACTTTGTCTTAACATGTAACATTTCAAATGCTTTTACTTGTGTATGAATTTTGGTGGACACAAATTAACCCATAACACTGGCGAATCTCATAGTGTCCATGCCCAATGATAACCACAAATGAGCAATCCCAGTGGACAATGGTATAGTAACTAGAGGCTCAGACCCTTCAGGAAGGAAGTTCTGAGCTACTTCTTCATGTGGTTACCTAGACCAAGAAGTGCTGGCCAGGGATGAAAGGAGAATAGAACTGGTGGTAATTAATGGAGATTGTGAATCTCAGGTGCACTGTATTACAGCAGCAGTAAGTGTTGCTATTTCACTGGTATTCATTTTACATCTTACTTCCTCTCCTTTCTTTTCCTTTACTTCTTCTCTCTTCTTCCTTTCTCTCTCCCTCCCTCCCTTTTCTTTCTTTCTTTCTCTCTCTCTCTCCCTTCCTTCCTTCCTTTTTTTCTTTCTTTCTTTCTTTCTTTCTTTCTTTCTTTCTTTCTTTCTTTCTTTCTTTCTTTCTTTCTTTCTTCTCCTCCACTCATCTTCTGTCCCTTCTCTTACTCCTCTTTCTCACCTCCTCTTCTTCCTTCTTCTAGAGCTTGTGGCTGTCCATCACATTTAAGTAGCAAAGATTTGACTTGAGTGGAGCTAATTGTGGATCGTAGACAAGTTTTCATGACTGCATCCATATATATTAGATCGTAGTGTGCTTGGACTAATTTCCATCTGTTAGACTCTGCATCACTGTGCCTAAGGGCTCTTGTATTGCTGCTGTAAGAAGTCATGTCACCTGGGAAGGCAACACAGAGAAAAACACTCAACCAATGATTCTGGAGAGCTGATGTATAAAGACTAGCTTCCTCATTCCTGAAGTAGGATAATTCTAGCTGTGTGTTTTTCATCATTTCTGATAATTTTCCCTTTAGTTTAAGCTTTAGTTGGTGACTGTGATACTGACTTAATAGTGAACCCTTTTCTGTATCACTTCCCCAATCCCTACCAATGTGATCTGCACTTCCCAGTAAACTACTTTCACTAGAATCTTTTTTTCAGAGTCTCTTCTGGGAGAAACTAATCTATGACAATACACTAACTCTCGCAGCCTCGATTTTCTCATCTCTACAAAGGGAACGTTAATACCTATTTTGAAAGTTTGTTAAAGAATTAGTAATAGCCGGATGCGGTGGCTCACGCCTGTAATCCAAGCACTTTGGGAGGCCTAGGTGGGCAGATCACAAGGTCAGGAGATCGAGATCATCCTGGCTAACATGGTGAAACCCCGTCTCTACTAAAAATACATAAAATTAGCTGGGCGTGGTGGCAGGTGCCTGTAGTTCCAGATCCTCAGGAGGCTGAGGCAGGAGAATGGCGTGAACCCTGGAGGCAGAGCTTGCAGTGAGCCGAGATCACACCACTGCACTCCAGCCTGGGCAACAGAGCAAGACTACATCCCGTTCCCCCCTCCAAAAAAAAAGAATTAATAATAATGTACACAAAGCCTTTAGCCAATACCCATCCTATGGTAGGCAGCCCAGAATTAGTGTTTTTGTTCAGAAAATTTCTAATTTTCATGTTGAAGAATATTTTTGTAATAATTAACTAAATCAACTAAATACTTTTTCGAGCTGTATTGAGGTATAATTAACAAATAAAAATTGTGTCTATTTCAGGTATGAAAGGTGAAGCTCTAATATATATATTCATTGGGAATAACATATGTATTAGCCCATGTAGTTACCATTTCCTTTTTATTTTTGTGGTGTGAACATTCAAGATCTAACTTCTTGGCAAATTTCAGGTATGTGATAAAGTGTTTATAACTATAGTGACATTACTGTACAGTAGACATGCTGAACTGATTCATCATTCATAACTGATGCTGGTCAAAGAGAATGTCCTAGTTTTCATCTCCTTTACTTCATCCCTGAACAATGATCACAGTAAGCGGCCGTTGTCTCTTAGCCAAGTCTTCAGAGCATCTAGATTCACAGTCTCAGAAGTTGGCATCTATCATGGAAATCTACTTTGTTAGCTCTTTAGAGGTATTTCCACCACTCCCATGCTGGTAGGAGGTCCCAAGAAGGTGACCCAGGTCCCTAAACTTTTTATTTCTCTTAGAGCCAGTATCAATCAATCCTTCCATGAGTGAATGCTTAACTTGCATCAGTTCAGGACCAAAAGCACCAACCTCTGTCTATCATGACTTCTATGAATGCACAAGTTCTACTTTGCATTCTTACATTCTTCTGATTGCCCTGGAAACACAGTTTGTAGTTTCTTGTTTTTTTCTTTTCTTTTTTTCTTTTGAGACAGAATCTCGCTCTGTCAACCAGGCTGGAGTACAGTGGCACCATCTCGGCTCACTGCAAGCTCCGCCTCCCAGGTTCACACCATTCTCCTGCCTCAGCCTGCTGAGTAGTTGGGACTACAGGCTCCCACCACCACATCCCACTAATTTTTTGTTTTTTTAGTACAGACGGGGTTTCACCATGTTAGCCAGGATGATCTTGATCTCCTGACCTTGTGATCTGCCTGCCTTGGCCTCCCAAAGTGCTGGGAGTTTTCAGTTTCTTTAGATGCCTCATATTGGTCTTACAAAATGCAGAAGGTTATTTCATTCCCTTCCTTGGTTCAGAGATTATGGATTGTGTCAAGTCTTACATACCCATTGCATACTTTCTCAATTCCCAGCTTAATTCCTTACTTAATTTTCCTCATAACATTTCGATTAGGGGACAAATTGTTTTAATGTGGCATAAGGTATGGTCTGTATTTTACAAGGAATAACTTAGTTTCATTTACTTTGTCATTAGGTATTCAGGAGATGGAGGCCATATAAGAATTTTATTTACATGATACTGAGAATGAGTCATTTCAGACGAGACTCTCTCTCATGATGATATAATGAATTCTCAAGCATCTTTCCAATGCAGATGAATTGAATGATTGGCTAGTCAGAGGCTGAGATAAAAAGATCCCTGCATTCAAGGCAGCCATTAAATGCAGTCCCTGCTGCCATATTATGCAGCTGTTGCTCACTGAGGTGTGGGAAATTAATTTGGGAATTCTTTTGTGAACAAGAATATTATCTGCAAATATGAGAGATTATTCCTCTCATTGTTAAATAAACTCAAGTGCATGTCTTGCTATTGCTGACTTCCAATGTCATTCCACTATATTGAGAATTAAATGTAAGTGTCCTTGGCCAGAAAGAGAGGACCTCAGCTTGGATCAGAATCTGTCCCTTATTAGCTACATAACATCGCATATTAAATATTTTTCAGGTGAAAAATGAAGGCAATAATAGATGACCATCTGTTTTGAGAATCAAATTGGATAATACCTGTGGTATGTGATACGTATGTAAATCCCATATCAGGAATGCTTTCAAATAAAACAAAACACCATATGAGATGAAGATGGTTCAGAGTTTATTCAGAAACATAGAGTTAAGAATCTCTGCTACCAGGAACACAACCCAAAGTTATCATGAAAAGAAGAAAGAAGGATAGAAGAAACATGAAGAGGATATTGAAAACAAATATATGATTGCAAAGATTATTGCTCAGTTGCAGAAGCCTAAATTCCTTAGAAGCAGAGAATGAAGCTCATGACTTTAGAGTCACAGCTGAGACCATGACTCCAAATTGAGAGCACACGAAGCTGGCACATGATCCACAAGGGGTAAGAAAAAAGAGAAACAGGATGAAGTATTCTGACATCCGTCTAGCAGATTCCCAAGATTTTAAACATACAGAGAATTCATAAAAATTTGGGTGAGAGCACGGTGGCTGTCAGCAGCAAAGTAAATTAGTCCCCCAAAAGATCAGTCAGTGGGGCAGAAAGTTGTTGTGTGAGGACGGTGGTTGTCTTGGGACTTGATCAGCAGCAAGAAGGCTGGCAGCAGCTGGACACACAGGTGGGCTGGAAGCAAGTGGTCCTGCAGCAGGTGGTCTCACAGCAGGCTGGGCGGCAGCAGGGCTGGCAGCAGCTGGATCCACAGCTCTGGTTTAGGCAACCAGGCAGGCAGACACATGTGGGGTGGTAGCAGGTTCTTCTGCAGTAGACAGGGGCACAGGAGCTGGTCTGGCCACAGCTGGACCCACAGCTGGTTTGGCCACAGCAGCTGGACCCACAGCAGGTGGGCTGGCAGCAGGGTGTGCTGCAGCAGGAAGGCTGGCAGCAGCTGGTCACACAGGTGGGCTGGCAGCAGCTGGTCACACAGGTGGGCTGGCAGCAGGTGGTTCTACAGCAGGTGGTTTGACAGCAAGTTGGGCGGCAGCAAGGCTGGCAGCAGCTGGTCACACAGGTGGGCTGGCAGCAGGTGGTTCTACAGCAGGTGTTTTGACAGCAAGTTGGGCGGCAGCAAGGCTGGCAGCAGCTGGTCACACAGGTGGGCTGGCAGCAGGTGGTTCTACAGCAGGTGTTTTGACAGCAAGTTGGGCGGCAGCAAGGCTGGCAGCAGCTGGACACACAGCAGGTGGGCTGGCAGCAGGGTGTGCTGCTGCAGGTGGTCACACAGGTGGGCTTCCAGCAGGTGGTCCTGCAGCAGGTGGTCCTGCAGCACGTAGGCTGACAGCAAGGGGAGCAACAGTTGGTCATGGTGTCAGGGGTGGAAGGTGGGCTTCTATTCAGAGGTGAGTTTCCCAGAATGTGATGACCCCTTGCAATCTGGACCTTTTATACACCTGGCCTCCAAAGTTTCCACCAATCAGCAGGACTTTTCCTTGTTGCTGTTTACATTGTTTTTCATACTCTCTTTGCGATCGTCAAAGGGGAAGTTGTTTCTGAAATCTTATGAATCTGTTGAAAGTAAGTGTTTAATCTGTTTGTTAATTGAGAATTACTCATAAAAACTTCGTTTCAGATAAAAGGAAGTCAGTCTCATTATCAGCATCATTCCTGCTCTGACCATCATCTGGTCATGTGATAGTTCCTGGTGATGTGGGAGGCAGATAGTTCTCTCTGCCCCGCCTCATGGTTGGCTGTATGTAGACTGGGAAATGTCTGTGGGCAGTCGCGTGATGCTGATATATTCACAGTGATGCATTGAATCCATGCCCGGCCCCAAGCCTGTTCACCCACAAAAGTCTAATTCAAGAGTAACAAGCATCTTTCTCGCTACAACCTACTCCCTCTGTGTCTTCCAGTTCTCTTAAACTCACTAGGGAAAGGGTGTTTGGCACAATGTGTTGCAAAATGCAGAGCTACACCAAAGCAGGTGGGTAGAAAAAGGAGTCCACTGGGATTCAGAAAGCACCAAATGGTTTCCGTGATGGTGTGGCCATTTATCCCGATTTGCCTGTGACTGAGAGGTTTACCAGCATGAGAATGTGGGACTCTGTGCGACATAAGTGCTCTAGATTCGGGCAAATCAAGCTGAGTTCTGGTCCTAGCTTTTTGATTCTAATACTTTTTGTATTTTGTGTTTTTTTTTTTTTTGGTGTGACAGAAAATTGTACATGTGCAGTCATGACTCATAAAAAATAGTAATAGTTTTCTCCACTTTATAAGAGTATTTTCAATCTTGCTTTCTTCTTTTTTTTTTTTTTTTTGCCCTTGTCCAGGCATAGACCCTCCAGGACAATGTCTAATAGAATGTTGTAGTGTGTGTCTTTTTATATTCTTCGGATAGAAAGGAGAACTCTCAGGATTTCACAATTAATTACGATGCTTTCTGTCTTTTTTGTAGATTCATTTCATCATAGCAACAGGGCTTGTTCTAGTCCTTATTTTCTGAGAGATAGAAAACTGAAAATGTTTTGAAATTTACAAAATCCTTTTTCTTTATAAGCTGAAATAATGTAATGATTATTCTACCTTTTCCAGTAAATGTTATTTTATTTTATGTTTTTTGAGACAGAGTCTTGTTTTGTCACCCAGGCTGGAGTGCAGTGGTGCAATCTCTGCTCACTGCAATCTCCACCTGCTGGGTTCAAGAGATTCTCTTGCCTCAGCCTCCCAAGTAGCTGAGACTATGAGTGCACACCACCATGCCTGGTTAATTTTTGTATTTTTAATAGAGACAGGATTTCACCACGTTGGCCAGCTGATTGCCAACTCCTGATCTCAAGTGATCCACCTGCCTCGGCCTCCCAAAGTGTGTTATTTAAAAAGTTGATTAATGTCTAAATGTTAGCCCAGTCTTGTATTTTTTAAAACAATTCATGTGGTTATGATCATATGCATATGCTACTGGATTTTGCTTATTTATATTTTGTTTGGGATACTTACGATCATTGCATTCCAAAAATATATTCTCCCATTCTTACTCTATTTCCTCTACCTTCTCTAAAGAAATTCTGAATACAACAAAATTCCTACCCTTCTGTGCCAAATTTGACCTTGATGTGACCCCCTGTATTGGTTTTTCTGAAGGCAATTTCATGTCCCATGAGATACTCTAGCAGTTCTGTTGCAGAGTGTGGGCTGGGGGTCAACAGTTCTCTTCAGCAGGAGGACTAGACTATCCCATGGGTCCCTTTCTGACACACACATCCCATGGGGGGAACTCCCAGGAGATACTTGTAGCCCAATTGTTGTCTTTCTTATCTTCTTTGACAGAAACAATGAAGTCTAGCCCAATTATCTGAAATCTATGCTTAGTCATTTCTGCAACAATACTGTATTAATCTAGAGAACGTGAGTAAGGAGTTGTCTTTAATCTGCAACTCAAATTATAGGAGGAGGAAATTACATCAGGATATGTAGGTATCAGTTAAATTCATTGAGGAGAACCTGGGGGAAAATGTGATTGGTGGATCTATCTATCTATCTCTACACTAGTCAGAACGTATATCCAAAATCTATAAAACACTATATAACACTGTGAACATATATCCAAAATCTATAAAACACTATGTAACACTGTGAACATATATTCAAAATCTATAAACATACAAAACATGAGAGCCCATGCAGCTCTCTAACAACAGGGCTATTGCACTGAGTTTTACATGTAGAGTTTTGAAGATAGTGGAAAGGAAACACTGAGTTTCCTGAGAATATAAGGAGACGTGTGTGATAGAATATCATAATCGGTTCTTAAATATTATGGCAGAAATGAATGAAGTGAAAGTTTACATTAACATGTAAGAAGTATCACTATTTAGGCCCTACAGAGAGATGGCTTTGGACAGAAAAATAAGAGAAGTTAGATTGCCCTTGGAACTTCAAAGTTACACAAAAAGAAAAAGAGCAAAGTTATGCAAAGCCATCTTAAAAAGAATGAATGGCTTTGAGGCTAGCCAAATTTATACTAGTCTGATAAGGATTTGAAAAATGAATATTTCTTAAATGGGAATGGGGTATTCAAATTCTTCTCTCTGGGTATATATGTGGGAGTGAAATTGCCATGTCATAGGAAACACGTATAATCAGCATTAGTAGAAAGAAAAAAGCAGTGTTTCAACATTTTACAACTGGTAGTGACTCCTGCTTGATCCTAATATTGTGAACCTTCTGAATTGTACTGGTATGTATTTGTGTTTTAGATTTGCATTTATTTGATGACTAATGTCTATTAGGCATTGGTTGTTGCTCTTTCTTTTTTCATAAGATGCCTGTTCAAGTCTTCTACCCATACTTCTTCATGGTTGTCAGTTTCTTAGTGTTTTGTAGATTTTGGATATATGTCCTGACTAGTATATAGATAGATAGATAGATAGATAGATAGATAGATAGATAGATAGATAGATAAAATGGAGATCATTGTCTATAAACTTATATAAGATATATATGTATCAGGAGTTTATCATTTATTGAATGGATATGTTATAAATTTTTATCACATGCTGTGTTGTATCTTTCCTTTTTGCTCTCTTTTTTTGGTTAAATTTTGTTTTTAATTTTTACCAAAACGTGAATCCTGTTATGTGTCATTTAACAATGGGGATATGTTCTGAGAAATGAACCATTAGGTAATTTTGTCATTGTGCAAACATTGTAGCATGTACTTAAACCTAGATCATATAGCTTACTACACATCTAGGCTATTTGATATGGCCTATTGTTTAAAAATTATGCTTTAAGTTCTGGGGTACATGCGCAGAACGTGCAAATTTGTTACATAGGTATACATGTGCCATGGTGGTTTGCTGCACCCATCAACCTGTCATCTACATTAGGTATTTCTCCTAATACTATCCCTCCCCTAGCCCCTCACCCTCTCACAGGCCCCGGTGTGTGATGTTTCCCTCCCGGTGTCCATGTGTGCTCATTGTTTAACTCCCACTTATGAGTGAGAATATGTGGTGTTTGGTTTTCTGTTCCTGTGTGAGTTTGCTGAGAATGATGATTTCCAGCGTCATTCATGTCCCCGCAAAGGACATGAACTCATCCTTTTTATGGCTATGTAGTATTCCATGGTGTTTATGTGCCACATTTTCTTTATCCAGTCTATCATTGATGGGTATTTGTGTTGGTTCCAAGTCTTTACTATTGTGAACACTGCTGCAATAAACATATGTGTGCATGTGCCTTTATAGTAGAATGATTTATAATCGTTTGGGTATACGCTCAGTAATAGGATTGCTGGGGCAAATGGTATTTCTGGTTCTAGATCTTTCAGGAATTGCCACACTATCTTCCACAATGGTTGAACTAATTTACACTCCCACCAACAGTGTAAAAGTGTTCCTATTTCTCCACATCCTCTCCAGCATCTGTTGTTTCTTGACTTTTTAATGATTGCCATTCTAACTGGCGTGAGATGGTATCTCATTGTGGTTTTGATTTACATTTCTCTAATGACTAGTGATGATGAGCTTTCTTTCATATATTTGTTAGCTAAATGTCTTCTTTTGAGAAGTGTCTCTTCACGTCCTTCACCCACTTTTTGATAGGGATTTTGCCCATGCCTATGTCTTGAATGGTATTGCCTAGGTTTTCTTCTAGGGTTTTTATGGTTTTAGGTCTTATGTTTAAGTCTTTAACCCATCTTGAGTTAATTTTTGTATAAAGTGTAAGGAAGGGGTCCACTTTCAGTTTTCTGCATATGGCTAGCCAGTTTCCCCAACATCATTTATTAAATAGGGAAGCCTTTCCCCATTGCTTGTTTTTGTGAGGTTTGTCAAAGATCAGATGGTTGTAGATGTGTGGTGTTATTTCTGAGGTTTCTATTCTGTTCCATTGGTCTATATATCTGTTTTGGTACCAGTACCATGCGTTTTGGCTACTGTAGCCTTGTAGTATAGTTTGAAGACAGGTAGCATGATGCCTCCAGCTTTGTTCTTTTTGCTGAGGATTGTCTTGGCTATACGGGCTCTTTTTTGGTTCCATATGAACTTTAAAGTATTTTTTTTCTAATTCTGTGAGTAAAGTCAATGGTAGCTTGATGGGGATAGCATTGAATGTAGAAATTACTTTGGGCAGTATGGTCATTTTCATGATATTGATTCTTCCTATCCATGAGTATGGAATGTTTTTCCATTTGTTTGTGTCCTCTTTTATTTCCTTGAGCAGTGGTTTGTAGTTCTCCTTGAAGAGGTCCTTCATATCCCTTGTAAGTTGTATTCCTAAGCATTTCATTCTCTTTGCAGCAATTGTGAATGGGAGTTCACTTATGATTTGACTCTCTGCTTGTCTATTATTGGTGTATAGGAATGTTTGTGGTTTTTGCACATTGATTGTGTATC